TGGTTGGTTCGTTTAGTGACCAAAGGTGCTTTTTTCTCAAAGACAACTGGACTTCCTCGGTCTTTTTGTTTTAAAATGTTTCACCTCTCATCCAAGAAGCTTTTTCAATTCAGGAGGAGGAGGAGGAGGAGGAGGAGCTTCCTGGATGAGAAGTGAAACATTTTCAAAGGGGCAAAAAACACATATTAGAAGACTTTGAGACATTTCAAGTGGGAAAAAACTTGAACCCCACAAAATACTTTTTAATCAAATCACCCACCAGAGGCGAGGCTTTAAATACCACCTCCAGTGCCCGGTTGTATTCTCTCTTTAAAAAAAAAAAAAAAAAGAGGACCATTCAGGTTGCCCTGGAAAATCAACTTCTTGATTAGAAGAATTGCATGAATAAGAAACAGCTGGGCCCAAGTCAGCAGCATCAAACAGGGAAGCCCATCAGGTGTTCTTCCCTGCTGGTCCCGCTTTCTCCCTCTTGCTTTGAAAAAGACCGCTGCGTAGGATTTGGTCCTGTGGAAAGGAAACTTCACGAGGACAGTGGTGTCAGGAAAAGCCCAAAGGGAACATCAAGCCAGCCATAAAACAAACTTGCATAGGAAAAGGAATCAAATAAAAGGTATTAAAGAAGCCCCTTAGACAAAAGCCCAAATAATTAAGAAAACTAGGGAAACAAGAAAAGAAAACCCTTCCAAATCAGCAAAACAAACAAAAGACACAAAATATATTGCAAAGGAGACAGACAGGAGATTGCCACAAAACAACTATAAGAAAACATTAGGACGAAACTGATAATCCAATCAAACCACCCCGCGGAGTTTACCCTCCGGCGGAAATGAAGACAACCCCTGACAGGATTGAAAACATTAAGAAATACAAACACAAGCACTCGCACACAAAAGGAGAAAAAAAGTATAAAAATCAGGGGGCTTATCATACAAAGAGAGCTAGCCCCAGGAACGCAGACTTCTTGCTATCTCTCGCCTTCCTGAAAAATAAAAAGAACCAGCTTTCAAGCAGTTGTCTGTATCCTTGCACCGGAGCTCTCCCAGCAGGAAAATCGAATCCTCAGAAGAAAGGCATTTTCCAAGCCTTTCAACAGTCCTCTGGTTCAGATACACAGGAGAAGACCGTGCTGAGCAAGGAAAAAGGGAAGGAAGCTGAATCAGCTGAAGGATGGGATCCATTAAAAATAAAAACAACAACATGGCAGCCAGGACACTGTGATAGAAACCCAGCTGGGATTTCATGGGGCAACCTGCACTAAAAAAAACCCAGGTGCTGCTTTGATCACCTCTCATGGATGCCTGGAAGTTTTGACAACATTTTGGAGACAACATTGAACATTTCTTTCTTTCTGGGCATATCCTTATCACAATCAAACAGAACATCTTTTCTAAGATAGATAGATAGATAGATAGATAGATAGATAGATAGATAGATAGATAGATAGAT